CTCTCGCCTTCGCGCCGAGCGCATTCGTCTCAAAAGCTTGCAGGAGCATCACGGATGGAGGATGGAGGGTGGGCCGCTTTCAAAATGTGGCTCGCGCCTTCGCGCCGCAGGCGTTCGTTCTAACAGTTTACAAGATTATTACCGCTGACGTCGCAGAAATTGTGCTTTGACGCGAACTAGGACTGTCAGGACGCGACGGTCACGTTGAAGTCCCAAGAATGGTGCTTTGTCATCGATGCAGATCATCATGCGGTTGTCGTCCAATGGAGCACTCCCCGTATTGAAGATAAATCTTGTAGGGACCTGTGAAGAAGGAACTTGGAGAGGGGGGGTCCTTGCAACATCGCTGACAAGTCTTGGGTTTACACAGGTCCTCCTCCTCCTCGTCCTCCTCGTCCTCCTCCTCCTCCTCCTCCTCCTCCTCCTCCTCCTCTCTTCCGCCCCCTCACTTGTTTTCCTCCTCCGCCTCCTCCTCGCAAGCGGGCCCCGAACATGCATGTTTATTTCTGCTGGGGGGGGGGGGGGGGGGGGCAATCCACAAGAAACCTTCCACAGGAAACCCAACCCCGAGACCCCAGGACGTCCATCGATTTTGGGTGTGGGAACGTCGCGCTTTCCACCGCCAAATCGTCGACACCCAAGCAAGAACCCCCAGGGCGCCCTGGAGGCAAGCAGGGCGTTCCTTGGCACGGGTGTCCACTGCCTGCTTCTTTGCTCGTGGCGGCGCGCCTTCGCCGCAGCCACCGCGCCGCGGGCGGGCGCCCTGCGGGGCCTCTTCGCGGGCGCCTCGGCGCCGCTCGCGGCGGCCGGCCGGCGCCGCGGCGCAGCGCCGGCCGCGGCAGCGGGGCGCCTCATGGCGGCGCGCTTCTGCTGCTCGGCCGGCGGGCGGCAATCCGGGGGGGCAACTGCTCGGGCGGAGGAAGAGGAGGAGGAGGAGGAGGAGGAGGAGGAGGAGGAGGAGGAGGAGGAGGAGGAAGAGGAGGAGGAGGAGGAGGAGGAGGAGGAGGAGGCCTGCTGCCGCCGCTGCCGCGGCCAGAGGCCACGGAAGGCTTCAGCAAGAATGCGCTGGCTCGGGCGAGGAACGTCGGCGGCTGGCCTTGGCCCCAGCAAGAACATTAGCCAACGGCCGAACTGGCCGCCAGTGACAGTAGCCAGAGACGAGGTCTCAACAAATCGCAACTCAGCCAATCTTTTGAGCGGTCATGCCGAATTTACTGGATGCACGGGGGACCTGCGCCGAACGACACTTTGCAACTGGCAAGTAGCAGCTGCTGTTTGGCCTCGTATGACTGTGCGCCTCATATTACCGTGGTTTTCACGAAGGAAGTTAGAAGTCAGCAGACGCCGTTATATATCGAGGATCCGAGATGGGGGGGGCACACTTTCCTCGAGCGGGCACGCGCGAAACGTGCCCTTACGTAGCACCCCGCAGATGCGGATAACAGTGGGTGGGCGGTGGGGGCGTCGGCAGTTTGCGCGACTCCGGAGAAGCCCGCCGCAGGCGCCAAAGTTTCACACATTATTCAACGAATCCGCCGCAGACGCCTGTTTTTTCGTTAAACCAATGGGTGGGTCGCGGGCGGGTCGCGGGTGGGTCGCAAATGGATCGCGGGTGGGTCGAGGGTGGGTCGTGGGTGGGTTGAGATTGGGTCGCGGGTGGGTCCTGGGTGTAGAAGGCAGAAGATCCACCCCATACTAATCACCCCAACAAGCGAAGCCGTTTAGTAAACGCACACAAAGAATGAATCGAACAGGGCAGGGCTGTTCATTCAACGCCCAGGGCCGTTTAGTAAACGTCAATTGTTGGGTCCGGGTGGTTTTTCCTCTCTTGAAGATGGATCGCGGTGTGGGTCGCGGGTGGGTCGCGGGGTGGGTCGCGGGTGGGTCGCCGGTGGGTCGCGGATGGATCGCGGGGTGGATCGCGGGGGTCGCGGGGGGTCGCGGTTGGTCGCGGGGGGGTCGCGGGGGTGGGGTCGCGGGGTGGGTCGCGGGTGGGTCGCGGGGTGCGCGGGTGGGCGCGGGTGGGTCGCGGGGTGGGTCGCGGGCGGGTTCGCGGGGGGGTCGCGGGTCGCGGGGTGGATCGCGGGGGGGGTCGCGGGGGTCGCAGGTGGGTCGCGGGTGGGTCGCGGTCGCGGGGTGGGTCGCGGGTGGGTCGCGGGGTGGGTCGCGGATGGGTCGCGGGGTGGGTCGCGGGTGGGTCGCCGGGGTCGCGGGTGGGTCGCGGGTGGGTCGCGGGGTGGGTCGCGGGGTGGGTCGTGGGTGGGTCGCGGGTTGGTCGCGGGTGGGTCGCGGGGTGGGTCGCGGGGTGGGTCGCGGGGTGGGTCGCGGGGTGGGTCGCGGGGTTGGTGGGTCGCGGGTGGGGCGACGACAACAAGAAACAACAACAATAATAGCAACAACAACAACAACAACGACAGCAACAACAACAACAGCAACAACAGCAACGCAGCATGCAGAACTTGCACCACGAATTCTTCATTCAACCACGCACCCAGGGACAATGAATGACCGTTCGGCCCCCTCACGCTGGTAAAACAAAATCTAAGTTGCCACGTCTTTATTATTGAATGGAAATCTGCCGGCCCTGCGCGAACTTGGCGCCAAGGACAGGTCTACAAACTGAAAGGGAGCCCTGGGCGCAAGCCCTTTCCAGGAACAGCGCACTATTTGGGGTCCACGTCGGCTAACATTCTACTTTGCTTCATGATTCCCCAAGTAGTGCTTGCGCTTACTTGCGCGACGAAAGGAAGCAGGTCTTGCGATATATGACATAGCGACATTACGCAATGGCTTACGCGGGCCGCCAGCGCGGCGCGCTACATTGGCAGCGAAGGCGCTTGCGCGCGCTTGCTCGCGAATGTCGGCGCAGACAAACGCACTATCCTAGGTCGCGCAGTTCTTTTCGAAGGAGCTGGGCCTGGCCGTCGGTCAGGCTGGCTCGTGGCCGCCCGTCGCCGCCCGCTGCCGCCGTCCTTGGCCGCGACTCTAGTTGCGAGACTGACGCGTTGCATTGCGTTGCATTGCTATGCGCCATATGTATTGCGCCACCCTGGCCGTCGCTCGGATGCGCGCGTCCGAGCGATGCCGGGCGCCTAGATTATACCATATTGGCTGCGCCACCTAGCTCGCAGTGCGCCAGCGGCGAGAAGACGCTGTTGGGGGCCCACGCTGGCAAATACTGTTTGACAGAGGTGGGCTTCCAAAAGAAGCCACTGGAGGGCTCCTCGCATGGGGTCGGGGCCCCTTCGTGGACTCTTTCCTCGGAAGGCTCCATCTAGTCATCGGATTGCAGCGCGCGAGCGCGACCCTAAGTCGGCAAGAGTGACCTGTGGCGCGCAGCCTTCGGGGGCGCGCGGGGGGGGGGGGGGGGCGGGGCCGAGCCCGGGCGCGCAAGCCGCTGCTGTCGCGCTGCGCTCGAAGATCAGGGAGCGCCAGTGGGCCCGCGCCAGAAGCTCACTCGGGCAGGGCGGTCGACTCCTTTGACTGGGGGGCAGGGGCGGGGCGCTGCCAAGCGGGGCGTGCCCTCTCTGAAGGCCGCCCCCTTCACCCCCGGCCCGAGCCGGCCCGCCGCGGGCCCCCCGGGCCCCTCTCCCGGGGGCGGCCCATCTTTTCAAGCAAAACATGCGAGGTCCCATGAACGAAGGAAGCCCTTGGGCGTACTTTTGGCGCTCCAGGGCACGCAGCAACTGGGCTCGCCCACGCGACCGCGCGGCGACGCCCGCGCCCGGCGCTTCCGAAAGCCCCGGCCAACGGCCCCAGGCCCATCCTCGGGGGCTTGCCAGCGGGCGCCAACACAAACATCAGGGGGGCCTCCACCAGGGAAACATGATCCTACATTTTGGCGTCGGTGGCGATCGTTCGGCCGCTCAGGAGGCCCGAATATCACCGCCGCACTGGGGGCAGCCGCCCTCGCCGCTGGGCCCCGTGGAGGGTCCGAGCCGCGCTGGGGAGCCACGCTCGGCCCAGGTTGCGCCTCGCGGGGATGCGGGCCTGCCGCGGGCGCCGTGGGAGAGCCGCCCGCGCTGAGGCCTTCTCTTCTGTTGCGGCAGATGGCCTGGCGAGCCTCTAAGGATTCTCGCCCGAGCCCCTGGGGAAGCCTCGCTGCCCCCGTGGCAAGCGCTGCCTGCCGCTGGCGCGCTCCTTGCTGTCTGGGTCAGCCTTGGGCTTGCTGCGCTGGGCCGGGGGAGGGGGGGGGCTGCCCGGGGCGTCGAGGGCCCGGCGCCGCCGCCGCTGGCGGGCGCCTCTGAGCACCGGCGCGAGGCCGCAGCGGGTCGCCCAGGGGACCTGCACGTAGGCCATCAGCTGGAAAAGGCTTGCGAACCCTTCCATGGCGATGTCGTAGTCGAGCAGGCGCCCCTGGCCCTTGTCGCAGGCGACCGCGGCGCTGGGCGGGATCTCATGAGCTCGCCGCCCGGGCGGCTCGCCACTGCGCGGCGCCGAGCTGCCGCGATTCGCGGCTCCGCTCGCCCGCGACAGCCCACGGGGCGCGCAGCTGCGCCAAGAGCGCCCCCGAGGCGACACGCGTAGCTCTGTTGCGCATGGCGAAGCCCAGCGCGGGGCGCAGGTACGCTGTGGCGACCGCGATGTTGCTCGCAGCCGCGCGGGGGGCCATCGGGGAGAACCCGCGCAGCGACGTGCCCTTGGGGCCCCGCCAGTAGTGGCCTCGCCGCGCGCAAAGCCCCCCTTGCTCGTGGAAGTGCCAGGGGGGCGCGTCGCCTTCCAGCTCTCCTTGCGAAAGGCCTTGATGATGCCGCTGGAACGGGCGCCGTAGCGGCGGGGCACCGCGAGAGCCGCCCCGTTGAATGTCTTGGCGCGGCCCGGCTGGAAGAGGCCGCGCGCCTGCGGCCCCCCGCTCCGTGATGCTGTCGTAAAGGATCTGCATGTCCGAGCTGGAGTTAGGACTGCTGCGGCCCTCCACTCCTCGGCGCAGGCTGGCCATTCGCAAGAGGAGGCGCACCAGCGTCTGCAAGACTGCCAGGTGCCGCGCTGCGCCTGAGCGCCTGGCCCCCCGCGCCCTGGGCCTGCTCGCCTGCTGAGCGGGCGTCGTCCTCGGCCGTGCCGCGCTCGTCGACGCCGTCGCCCACCTTGGCCCTCTTCGCGGCGAGCACTGCGGCCGCGGGGACACGCGCGACCGCGAGGCGCAAGACGTGCGGCTCCACCTGCGGGGCACGGGGCCGCTGCGTCTTGGCTTCCGAGATGTCCTGGAGGAGGCGGTCCTTGGCCTGGGGGAACAACTGGCTGATCTCGGCGGCCTCCGCGCCGCCCAGCCCCTGGTCGCAGAGGTGGCCCTCGAGCTTCGCGGCGACGCTCTCGAGGACTGGGGTAACCTCCGCCTCCTTGCCGCCCTGGAGCTCCTGTTTGCCGAGGTCGGCCAGGAAGGCCCGCGCCGCCGCGAGGTCCTTGTCGTGATTGGCCTACTTCTCCTGCTGGGGGGCGAGCTTGACCTCGAGCCGCTCGATGTCGGTCTTGGTGGTGATGGTGTCCTGGTCAGCCGCCACCACGAGACCCTCAAGGCGCATGATGTCGCGGTAGCAGGCTGCGCGGCGCTTGACGATGGGGAAGTTCTCCAGCCGCATCGCCATGAGGTTGCCGAGCTCGGTCTTCGAGCGCTGCATGTCATCCTTCTCCGCGTCGCCCATGTGTCCCCCCGCCTGGGCGAGGGCGGCGAAGCGCTTGATGCGGGCGAGGACCTCCGCAACGTCGTCCTTGGGAGCGGCCTGGTGGGGGGCCTTCCGCCGCGGCAGCGTCGGCCTCTCCCCCGCGAGCCTCGCCCTGACGGCGGGCCAGCTGGAACTCCTCGGTGCGCTTGGTCAACGTCTTGCGGATCTTCTTCTCCATGGACTAGTGCTGCCAGGGGGCGAAGTCGCCCTTCGCCTCGGCCAGGCCACTGCTGCGGGTAGAGGGCCCCTTGCCATCGACGACCGCCCCCCCGAACGCAACGCCCTCTGTCAAGCTTGCATCCGCCACGGATGAAGCTCCACCTGCTGTAGCGGAACCTCTGGCCCTTGCTGGTGCAGCAGGACTTGCAGAGCCGCGGCGCGCGCTCGGCAGCCTCGCGCGGGGGTAGCGCCTGCCCGCTACCGCCAGCAGGGCCTGCCCTTCGCGCTCTGGCGCCATGGCGCTGCAGGAGAGGCAGCGAAGCGCCCCCGACGGGGACGTGAAGAACTGAGAGCTGGCCGCGGATTGGTGGCATTCACTTGACTCTCCAGGTGGTCTTGCACCTTGGGCCACAGTGGCTACGGAAGAAGAGGAGGAGGAGGACGAGGAGGAGGAGGAGGAGGAGGAGGAGGAGGAGGAGGAGGAGGGGGAAAGGAGGAAGGATGAGGAGGAAGAGGAGGAGGAGGAGGACGAGGAGGAAGAGGAGGACGACGACGATGAGGGAAAGGAAATGAAGCATAGGGGAAGAATGTAGAGACGAAGGCGGCCATCAGAGAAGCAGAGAAGAGAAAGGAGGAGGTCCCGCCTGATAAGCTCCCAATACTCGCACAGCGGAGTATCCCACCCGCGAAGTTCCTACAGACTCCTCGTGGACGAGGCGCCCACCTGAAAGGTCCCAAACAACTGTGGGGGAATGAGGCGTCCGCCTTGGATGCCCCCGAACAAACGCGAAAAAAAAGGGGTCCGCCTGAAAAGTCACTGGGGCAACGCGACGAGGAAGAGGCTCCCGCCTGAGAGGTCCCAGGCAAAACTTGGGAAAATAAAGGATCCCGAACGAACGGTCCTAAACAACCGCGAAGAGGAACACGCCCCCGACCAAGAGGCCCCCAAACACCGCGACGAACAAGGGGCTCCCGCCCGAAAAGTCACCCAACAAAAAACAAGGATAACGAAACTCCCGCCTGAGAGGCCCCAAACGAAATGACGGAATAATCCCAAACAAACGCCGCGAAAAAGGAAAATAAACGGAACCCCCGCCTGAGAGGTCCCCCCCGAAAGAAAACGCGAAAGGGAAGAGGCTCCCGCCTGAAAGGTACCAGAAAAACACAGCCAAATTGACGTTCCCGCCTGGCACTGGGGCCGCGGTGTCGGTTATCCCCTGTTGCGTTGTTGTTTGGATGTTGGTGGGACATTTGCAAGGATGAGATGTCATCCTTCTGGGTTTCTTGGGGTTTTGCGTGAGCATCCCAGGCGGGTGCTTGTGGAGCAGCCCTCAAGCGGGAACCTACTATCCGAGCGTGTTCTGGGGACCATGCAGGCGGGCGCCTCCTCCTCCGACAGGTTGCCTGGGACACCTAGGCGGGGGCCTCTCCCTTTTTCGCGTCTGTATGTACATTTCAAGCGGGGGCCTCCTCTCCCACACAAGGGCCCCGCCCCTCTCTGTATGTATCTCGCTTTGTTTGTTTATGTGTTTCTCTGTCTCTCTCTCTCTCTCTCTCACTATCTGTCCCTCTCTTTCAACACCGGGCGCATCACGCACACACGCACACACATATATATATATACAGATATATATATATATATATACATACATACACCTATACGACCACCCTTCGCGTGATAAAAAAAAAGGTTCGGGGGGAGGAACCGACGTCTCACTCGATCGGTCTCACTATCGATCTTACTATCGGTCTCACTATCGGTCTCGCTCGATCGATCCCACCCGATCGGTTTCACAATCGATATCACTCGATCTATTTCATTCGATCGATCCCACAAGCGATATGCCGATCGATATCACAATCGACCTCACAATCGATACCACGATCGATCTCAATATATCTCACATTCGGTATCACTACCGATATCATTACGGATCTCACAGTATCACAACCAACGTCATCATCATCATCACCATCATCGCCATCATCGCCATCAGCGTCATCTACATCATCCGCATCCTCATCATCATCGTCATCGTCACGGGGACACCATCATCACCATCCTCACCTCATCACCATCATCATCAAAATTACATGATCATCGGGGCACAATCGTCGTCACCATCATCATCAACATCGTCAACATTGGAACACCATCATCATCATCATCATCATCGAAACACGCCCCTCATCATCATCATCATCATCTCATCATCATCATCATGAACGGCATCGTCAACATCATCATATTCACCATCATCATCATCATCATCATCGGGACACCACAATCACCATCAACATCATCATCACCGGGACACCATCATCATCGCTACCATCATCATCGCCATCATCATCGAGACACCATCATCATCCACATCAGCATGGTCACCATCGGGCCACCATCATCTAAATCACCACCACCTCATCCTCATCCTCATCACCATCATCCGAATCACAATCGAACGCCATCATCGTCATCAGCATCATCATCAACATCACCACCAGCGGGACACCATCACCATCATCACCCTCACCACCATCAGCAACATCATCATCAACCTCATCATCATCATCATCATGACACCACCATCATCATCTTCATCATTATCATGCCATCATACCAGCATCACCAACATCATCAAAATGTTCAACATAATCATCATCAGGACGCCATCATCACCATCATCATCACCACCACCTAGGCACCATCATCGTCACCACCATCATCATCAACAACATCATTGTCGGGGCACCATCATCCATATCATCATCACAATCAACATCGGAACACCACCATCATCATATCATCATCATCATGAACATCACCATCAACATCATCATCATCGGAATACCATCATCATCATCACCAACATCGTCATTTACATTTTCATCGCCATCACCGGAGAACAATCGTCATCGTCACCATCACCATCATCACCATCATGACCATCATCATCGGGAAACCATCAGCATCATCATCAACCTCGTCATCAGCAGCATCATCATCATCATCATCATCGGGCCACCACCATAAAAATAATTATCATCACCTCATCATCGTCCTCATCACCAACATCATCATCATCATCGGGATACCGTCATTGCCATCATCATCATCAATCGCATCCTCATCGGGACACCATCATCATCACCATCATCATCATCATCAAAAGCATCACCATTTACTTTATCATCACCTCATCATCGGGACACCATCATCATCCTTTACATCACCATCACCGTCTCGTCATCATCAACATCAACAAGATCATCACCATCATCGTCATCATCATCGGGGCACTACCATCATCATCACCATCATCATCCGCAGCATCAACATTATCAACATCATCATCATCATCATCATCATCATTTGGACACCATCATCATCATCACCGTGGCCATCATCATCATCATCATCATCATCATCATCGTCATCGTCATCGTCATCATCATCGTCACCATCGGGACAACACCGATGGGACACCGACGGGACACTGGCGGGACACCGCGCGGCACCAGTTGCCGGAAGGGAGACTTGTGGTCCGGCCGCGCGTCAGCCAGAGGCGGGACATTTCTCGCCCGCCCACGCAGCTTCGCCTCGCCCGGACGCACGGCACGCACGAACACGAAACCGAAACCGATTTCCCGGTGGGGGGGCTCTCCGTTCCACTTCGATCTCCCCCCCTCACCTCCGATATATATATATATATATATATATATATATATATATATATATATATATATATATATACTAGAACCACGCGCGCGCTTCGCGCGCGCTTAGGTTCTGTCGAGTCACAGACCCAGGAATCGTTGCGAGAAGAAATTGGTGACGCGAAGCGTCTTGGGGGCGTCCTTGGACGTCTGGGGTCTCCTGGGGTATCTTGAGGGGCCTCCTTGGGGCCTCCTGGCGGCCTCTTGGGGCGGAAGGCTCGAGCTTGCGGTTCGTGGTCCCCCTCTGGGCCCCCTCTTGGGCCCGTCTTGGGGCCCTCTTGGGCCATCTTGGGCGCCTCTTGGGCCGTCTTGGGGCCCTCTTGGGCTGTCCTGGGGCCCTCTTGGAAGCTTCTTGGGCCGTCTTGGGGCGGTCTTGGGCGCCTCTTGGGCCGTCCTGTAACGTCGGAAAACCCAAAGACAACTTTGTTACCTAACATCGAAGACTGATAGGTTTCTAGTAGTGTCAAAAGAGCTCACAGATCACTCCACAGGGGGGTCCGGGCAGGTGTTGGGAGTTGCCGGGCGGGCCTGTGCCGAACTCGTTTTTCACCAACAGTCACACACTTCGTGCTCTTCGACTTCCCAGAACTCCATTCCCAGGCTCATTCTGAATAACCGGATGCAACAGTCACACACTTCGTGCTCTTCGAGATCCCAGAACGCCATTCCCACATTCCCAACAGTCACACACTTCGTGCTCTTCGAGTTCCCAGAACTTCATTCCCGGGCCACATTCTGGAGGGCCGGATGCAACAGTCACACACTTCGTGCTCTTCGAGTTCCCAGAATTCCATTCCCGGGCCACATTTTGGATGCCCGGAGCCAACTGTAGGCCACTTCGTGCTCTTCGATTCCCAGAACTCCATTCCCGGGCCACATTTTGGATGCCCGGAGCCAACTGTAGGCCACTTCGTGGTGTTCGAGTTCCCAGAACTCCATTCCTGGGCATGATTTTGAATGCCCGGAGCCAACTGTAGGCCACTTCGTGTTCTTCGAGTTCCCAGAACTCCATTCCCGGGCCACATTTTGAATGCTGAGGCAGGCTGATGCTGAGGCTGAGGCAGGCTGAGGCTGAGGCAGGCTGAGGCTGAGGCCGAGGCTGAGGCAGACTGAGGCTGAGGCTGAAGCAGGCTGAGGCTGAGGCTGAGGCAGGCTGATGCTGAGGCTGAGGCAGGCTGATGCTGAGGCAGGCTGAGGCTGAGGCTGAGGCTGATGCAGGCTGAGGCTGAG